CCCTTGATGCAATCACAGGGGACCGGATGGGTAGCGGCACCACATCGCTGTCAGATCATTTGTGCACCAAAACGCTCACAGCACCGGTGAGGCAGAGAGGGAACAATGGGTCTTATTCAAGGGAGGTCAGAGAGAGAAAAGACTGGTTTGGGCTCCTGTCTGCGTTTCAAGGCCTGGTGGAGAACTGCTCCCTCTGCCTCATATCACAGCACTGGCCTGGCTGATTTATTTCTGTAGCATTTGCAATATGTCCCTGGCACACACACTATCCCTTTGCCTCGTGCCCTTCTGTTCATGCTGGAACAACCTTCTGCCTCAAGAGGGGGGAAAAAAACCCACCCTCAGGGCTAGTCCTTCTCAGAGCCAGCTCCAAAGTGCATGATCATCTTCAGGATCCTTTGCACTGACCTCAGGGCAGGCTGGATTAAGCCATCTCTGCCCACAATCACAGAGGCAACAGGATGGTGCAGGAAAAAGGGCTGCGAGGAGCGAGCTTCCTACAGCGGCATCATTCAGGGGCAGCAAACTCATGCATACCTAATGCAGGTCAGTGCTGATCAAACCTCTCTCTACAGGCCCATCACTCCTCACTGGCATGGATATTACACATGCACATGCACACACACATGTTGACTACCTTTGAACCTACATCGTTACACCGCAAATATGTTCAAGAAGCAAGTGCTTTAGGAATGCTTGGGGGAAGGCCACTTTATTGGGACAGGGTTTTGCCTTCGCCCTGCAATGAATTAGCCCCCGCAGGCAGACTGTCAGCTGGCGCAACCAGCACAACTCTATATGGAGCCAGTGACAGATCTGTCCATGGGAGCCCTGCTGTGCAGAGCCAAGAGGGAACTGTAAAAGTGACCTGAAATGGCTTTCCCCAATGAATAAGTCCTGCCCTTTCACCAGAAGCCTGTAAAAGCAGGCTGCTAAATCTTCTGTCTGATTTGAATGTCGGCTCTTCTTTGCAGGACTGTCTCTTACATCTGGTTTGTACAGCACCTGGTGCAACCGGGTCCTTATTTTTAGCTTAGCCTCCCTCGATGCTAGTGCAGTTCCATTACGCCTATTAAAAAAAATCCCCCAACACATTCGCTGGATGGGAAGGCAGCAGCAAAAGAGTCCATGATGAAAAAGTTAACAATAACATATAAAGATGACATTTCAATCTCCAGCTGTTTCCCACCAGTCTTTGGTCTCAACTCTAATAAAGCCTCAAAAGTGGCAACCCATGCCCTGGTGCTATTTATGGGTTGAATCCAACTCAGCTTCCCCATAAACTTATTGCTCCCAGAGCTTGTTTCCCCCCACACATAGCCCTGGCATCTGAAAGACACCCGCTCCCCTCCAAAGCAGCACTGCCCTTTGCATGCCAGTGAGCAGCCACGTGAAAGCCACTGCTTCCAACAGGTCTGGGATCAGGCCCCACATGGGCTTCCCCAGTATTATGGAGCAACTGGGAAGAACTGGGCCTTCTACAGTATTTGATCACTGCCTTCTGGCCCTGTCCTTTATCGCTTCCCTTCAGTAATAACCAGGAGGGTCCAAAGAAGGACGATGCAGGGCTAGCAGCAGATGCCCTGCTCCATTGCTCTCTGGTTGGCAGGGGAAAAGAAAACAGATGTCAAAAAGGGAGCCACACGGTAAAGAAAAGGGCGGCTAGGAAAAGTGTGGGGAACCGCCCTGTCCCACTGGCCCAGCCAAAAGCCCAGAGTCAACACGGACAGAGAAAGTCCAGCGCTGCCAGGGAGCCGCGTGTGACTGATCTGGCATGGCTTTGTGTGTCTGCTCCTCTCTATGGGAGCTCGGGGAGGCCAGGCGGGGAGGGGAGACCGTCAGTCTGGACGGATGCTGACAGTGAAGGCACCGGTGCTTTATTTTGTCACCCGGGAGGGGCGTGGATGGGCTCTCTGAGCAGACAGCAGACCCCGGGCTGTCACAGATCCAGTGGTGGGTCTGATCCTGAATGCTTGCAGCTTTAGACCAGGCTGAGGGCAAGACCCTGCATGCTGGACTCTGTCTCTGTGCTGGCTTCGGCTCTCAGCAGTCATTGTGCAAGTGCAGAGATGGGCCAAGCGCTTGCACAAAGACCTTTGTGCATCTTCCGATGCCCCTCTCTCCCTCTTCCACCGTGCCACGCACACACACATCCAAGCCTAAAGCCAAATAATGGGAGTTTTGCCTTTAGTTTCAAAGAGGCTGGCACTTCACCCAGGTTGTTTACCTCTTACTCCTAGGCCAGTCTCTCCAGCCCTCAGCTCCTTCCATGCTATGCAAGCCCCCCTCCAGCCCCTGCAGGCAGCCCGCACCTCCTTGTGTCGTACAAACCCCCCGGGCTAGGAGCAGGCTCTGACCAGCAGACCTGTGGGGAAGGGAAATAGAGGCCTGAAGCTGCAAGGAGACTGCTTGAGGTCTTTAGCTCAGGGCTGGATGTCTCTCTAAGGACTGCGTTCCAGTTCAGGTCCACGTTCTGGGCCCCGCATGGAGTCACGGCAGGGATTCAATGGTCTGTGCCTCACAGGGCGATGGACTGAGTCTCCAAAGCCCCTGCCACACATGACATGTTTTACACAATTGTGCAATAAATGTAGACAGGTTACACGTGCAAAGCAATTATCATGCCATAAAAATGTCCATCCACCTATAAAAAGAGCCAGTCGGCTCTGATGTTAGTGCTTGAAAATGTGTAACAACTTTAGAGCTGGTTTCCACCCAGTTTGAATTTGAATATGTGGCAGGGCCCCGAAGGCCTGGATGCACCCGGGAGTTCCCCATTGCAGAGGGCTGTGGGTCTCTCGCCGTTGCTCCTCCCTGTCCACATCAGGGTGGACGGTGCCAGGAGGAAGGAGTCCCAGTCCACTACGGCCAGTTGTGTCTGATCTTTACCACAGGGCATCATGTGGAGGGAAAAACTGGTGCCCAGCAGCACATGGGTCAGATGCATCCTGCTCTCAGTGTCAGATTGTGCCCTCCATTGCCTCTCTGTTTGGCTGATGCCCTCCACCCCAGAAGTAGCTGCATTTTCCTGGCCTCACACATACAGTGCATGTGGCATGTGACTGAAAGCTGCCTGGGTCAGTGTAAGAAGCCCTGCGCTCCCTTTGGAAGTGGCTGGACATGAATGAAGCAGGCTGCTCTCCCGGGGAGCAGTGAGGGAGTATCGGAGCAGCCCATTAGCTGTTCTTTTCCTTTTAAATGCCAGCAAGAGTGCAACAGGCCCAGGCTTTTATTTTGGAAGAGGCACTTGGCTGGCACTTGGGGCTCTGAGCACCCACCAGCCCTGCTGAAGGCGGCAGGAGAGAAGACCGCTCCTCAGCCTGCCAGAGACTCCCTGCCGCTTGCCGCAAAGGGCTTTGCATCCTTTGTAAACCTAACCAAGGGCAGGGCTCAGCCCCCATTGACTCCCGTAACTACCCTGATGTGCTCCCTGTCCCATCCAATTATGTGCCTCTGTGGCCGATCCCAGCGCTAATCCTACAAGCGTCGTGGCCAATTCATTCCTTTACCAGGCAGTCCCTGGCATTGTCATGCGGTCTGCGCTGCTTGGCAGAGAAGCTGACAGCTCACAGCCCCCAAAAGAGACCCAAAGGGTGGGGGTGCTCTTACTGGACCCCTTTCCCTGGCTCTGCTTTGAGCATCCCTGATAGCCACCAGCGTCTTAGGAGCTGGGAGCCTGGGCCGAAATCAATGCGCGAGGAACCTCGTGTATTTTCCTATGGAGCCTATAGAGCTGCCATTGAAGCACACAGCCTTGCTACTGCAGGGGGATAAGACATGTAAACACTTCTCCTCGCCGCCCCGGCCCCAGATGCTTGAAGCACGAGCTGTGAAAGCACCCAAATCCCCAGGATCTCCAGACAGCCGGATCTCCCTGATTACCCCTGGCTGCAGGGAGATCCACTGAACGGGGTGAACAAAGCAAACAAAGCAGAGGGAAAGGTGGCCCCCAATGCCCCGGGGTTGGCTGGTTTGGAGGGGTGCTGGTACGTCACAGGGGGTCTAGCCCATACGTGAGGCACCATCCTACGACGGCTTCAGGGCTCGGAGATGTTGACCGAGCAGCGGAGAGAGGTCCCCACCCGAGCGTGCGTGCACAAGTGTCTGGGTGGCTTGCACAGGGTGTGGACCAGCAGCGTTGTATCATGCTATGATTAGGGAAGCCCAAAGCCATGAAATAAAAGGCTTTGCAGAAGTTCTCAACGGTTCTTTTTTCCCCACGCGGCATTAAAATCGTCTCTCGGGGCCCGGTCCCCAGCTGGAGAGTCCTGGAGAAGGCAAGGGATCTGGCTAAACTCCCTCCCTCCCTCTGTGCAGGGTCTGAATCTGCCAATCCTCAAACCACCATCCCCGATTTCACCCCAGGAGCTGCCACCGCCCGACTGCTGTTGCTGGGAGGGCTCACGGCAGCAGGGGGGAGATGCAGCAACAGATGACCTTCCTTACAGTGGGCCGGATCCTGCTCTCCGTGACACCTGTGGATAGCTAGTGGACACCCCCCCCCTCCAATCATGCCCCCCTGTCTGCAAATGCCATCTGTACCCCTTGCAGGCTTTACTGAGCATCTAATTCCACATTCCCCTGCTGTTTTGGGGTGAGAGCAGCTAGTTCAGACGATTTCGTCCTTACCCCCGATCCCATTCACTAGTTCACCAGTGGATGCAAAGTGCCTGTACAGGGGAGAGGCCAGACCTCGCGCCCCAGTGTCACAGCAGAGATGCTAGGGCGTGCGTGCCGTAGGGTTGGGCATGGACAGCTCCCGCTGATCCCCACTCCTCACCCCGCTCCCAGCCGCAGACACCCACCACGGCCCACGGGCCACCTCACCGGAGACAGAGCAAGAGGAGGGATGACCTGCCAGGGTACCCCGATGATCCCCTCCACCCGTGCCAGGTCATCCCTGAGGGCTGGTGTCTCTCATGGCCCCTTTTGAGCATCGACACGAAACTACGTCTCAGTGCCACCCGTGCCCGAGAAGCAAAGGGAAGCCTCCAACTTACCAGGGGCGATGAATCTTTTGCAGATGCGGGCGCCCGCTCCACTGCGTCTGCTTCCCAACGTGCTGCTTGCAGAGCGCTTGTCAGCGATGCCTTCAGGTTACCGTCTCGCTCTCGTCTCTGTCTCGCCTTGGAAATCTGTGTGGTTTTTTCTTTTAAGGGCCTTTTTTTTTGGTGGTTGCGTCAGGCCGGTTGCCTGGATACAGCCGAGCTATTCCAGTTGGAGCGTTTCAGTCCAGATTTCCTGTCGCCCTTTCATTCATACCACCGGGCTCTGGAACCTACCTCCCACCAAGAACTAACCCAGAGGAGACCCGAACGGCAGCAGCCGCCAGGCCTGGGTCCTAAACACTGCCAGATTCAGCTGAGGGCATGGGGAAGGCAGGCAGGGGCAGGGTGCCGGGGGGATGCCAAAGAGGGTGGCGAGCTGGGATGGGGCTGGTGGCATTTCAGCATGAGCCAGGAGCACTTGCATGCAAATTCCCTCCTAGGCATTAAGCCCCCGGAGACTAAGAGACAGGGGTCAGTAGGAGAGACTCTCATTTGCACCAGCATGCTACAGCAGAGCTACTTGCCCCTCACCTGCATGCTACAGCAGTGCTACTTGCCCCTCACCTGCATGCTACAGCAGTGCTACTTGCCCCTCACCTGCATGCTACAGCAGTGCTACTTGCCCCTCACCTGCATGCTACAGCAGTGCTACTTGCCCCTCACCTGCATGCTACAGCAGTGCTACTTGCCCCTCACCTGCATGCTACAGCAGTGCTACTTGCCCCTCACCTGCATGCTACAGCAGTGCTACTTGCCCCTCACCTGCATGCTACAGCAGTGCTACTTGCCCCTCACCTGCATGCTACAGCAGTGCTACTTGCCCCTCACCTGCATGCTACAGCAGTGCTACTTGCCCCTCACCTGCATGCTACAGCAGTGCTACTTGCCCCTCACCTGCATGCTACAGCAGTGCTACTTGCCCCTCACCTGCATGCTACAGCAGTGCTACTTGCCCCTCACCTGCATGCTACAGCAGTGCTACTTGCCCCTCACCTGCATGCTACAGCAGTGCTACTTGCCCCTCACCTGCATGCTACAGCAGTGCTACTTGCCCCTCACCTGCATGCTACAGCAGTGCTACTTGCCCCTCACCTGCATGCTACAGCAGTGCTACTTGCCCCTCACCTGCATGCTACAGCAGTGCTACTTGCCCCTCACCTGCATGCTACAGCAGTGCTACTTGCCCCTCACCTGCATGCTACAGCAGTGCTACTTGCCCCTCACCTGCATGCTACAGCAGTGCTACTTGCCCCTCACCTGCATGCTACAGCAGTGCTACTTGCCCCTCACCTGCATGCTACAGCAGTGCTACTTGCCCCTCACCTGCATGCTACAGCAGTGCTACTTGCCCCTCACCTGCATGCTACAGCAGTGCTACTTGCCCCTCACCTGCATGCTACAGCAGTGCTACTTGCCCCTCACCTGCATGCTACAGCAGTGCTACTTGCCCCTCACCTGCATGCTACAGCAGTGCTACTTGCCCCTCACCTGCATGCTACAGCAGTGCTACTTGCCCCTCACCTGCATGCTACAGCAGTGCTACTTGCCCCTCACCTGCATGCTACAGCAGTGCTACTTGCCCCTCACCTGCATGCTACAGCAGTGCTACTTGCCCCTCACCTGCATGCTACAGCAGTGCTACTTGCCCCTCACCTGCATGCTACAGCAGTGCTACTTGCCCCTCACCTGCATGCTACAGCAGTGCTACTTGCCCCTCACCTGCATGCTACAGCAGTGCTACTTGCCCCTCACCTGCATGCTACAGCAGTGCTACTTGCCCCTCACCTGCATGCTACAGCAGTGCTACTTGCCCCTCACCTGCATGCTACAGCAGTGCTACTTGCCCCTCACCTGCATGCTACAGCAGTGCTACTTGCCCCTCACCTGCATGCTACAGCAGTGCTACTTGCCCCTCACCTGCATGCTACAGCAGTGCTACTTGCCCCTCACCTGCATGCTACAGCAGTGCTACTTGCCCCTCACCTGCATGCTACAGCAGTGCTACTTGCCCCTCACCTGCATGCTACAGCAGCGCTACTTGCCCCGCACCTGCATGCTACAGCAGATCTACTTGTCCTGCACCTGCATGCTACAGCAGCGCTACTTGCCCCGCACCTGCATGCTACAGCAGTGCTACTTGCCCCTCACCTGCATGCTACAGCAGAGCTACTTGCCCCTCACCTGCATGCTACAGCATACTTCTGCATAGACAAGGAAGCCTGCCTCAAGTCTTTTTCACCCTTGGAAACCTATTGAAACCCCTGGTGCCAGCCCAGGCAGGCCCTCTTCCATGCTAGTTCTTCCTTCCCTTGCCCATGCTGTCCCTCTTCCACACTAGGTGAGATGCTTTGGAAGCCCAGGGATCTCTGGCATTTTGCACAACTTTTGGGGATTGCTTTTATCCCTGCATATTGGTCTCACAAAGGCCCGTCAAACTGTCCTGAGTGAAAACCTGTTTCCAGCCTGGCCCTTGTCTGCACTGGTTAGTGGAACAGTGTTATGAGCTCTGCTAGCAAAAAAACCCTTGCAGCCTCCCAGTCTGTCACTGTGTTTTGATTGGGAAGGTGCTAAGGAGGCTTCCCTTCTCAGTGCCTGGAGACATGTCACGTTTCATGGTTTCGGGGGTTGGAAGGGACCTTACAGATCATCGGGTCCAGCCCCCCTACGTATAGCAGTGTAATAAGGCTTTGCACCAGTAATGCAGACTGCAGACAGGGATCTCTAGGGTAAACCTGCCCAGTCTCAGAGAGGATCACTCCAGGGGTAAAATGGTTTCACAGCTCCAGGGGTCATCTGTCTGCATCCATCCCGGGATAGTGACACCAAGCAAACAGGCTATCACCTGCTCTCCTGCCATCTAGTGCCCAGCTTTGCAATAGCTACCTGCTGCATGCAGCTATCCTTATTAAGGACTACCTTCCAACGCCAGTGCAATTGGTTTGGGGACAGTGCAAATCCCATGTCAGCTGTAGCAGCATTATCATTTCATCTGTCCGGGGTCTCAGAGACAGAGAAGCACCAAGAAGGGCTGGCAGCCTCCTCCGCCGTGAGCCCACAAAGCCGCATGGCATCAGTGCACGTGGAAGGGCATTTCTGAGTCTGGATTTTAGCTCAGAGCAGCAGATGCCAGGTGCCAGCTTGAATTTCATCCCTGCGTTAACCCTTGGGAACCTGTCTAGCTATCCTCCCCCTTCCTGCCTTGCTATCCAAGGGCTGTGGCCGACTTTGCAGGATCTCCATCCCTGGGTGGGCCTGCAGCCTGGCAGATGCTGCAAAGGTGGAAATGATGGATGTTTGAACTTCATTCCCTTCATGCTGCCAAGCTGCTTTAGAGCTTGGGAGTGGGGAGCAACACATGGTCTCCTCCCAGGATGCCTTTGCACATGGAGGAGAAAAAAACATCCCTGTTTCTCCTTGCAGCCTCACATCACAGCACTTCAAGCGATGTCAGGGTGCCCCTGGCCCCATAACATGGGATCCTGTTGCCAGAACAGGAGAAGGATCTCCCTGAGTGGTACATGGCCTCTGACACATGGATGAGCCATGGAGATGCCATTCGTGGGAACACAGCAGCCCATCTTCATCCCAGTAGCGGCCAGAGCTTTGCAATACATGTCACACGGGTGGGTATTCCCAGGAAAGTGTGGTGCTGTGGCGGGGGGCAGGGGGACGGGACAAACGGGGGGCTTGTTAGAAAACTGTAGCCCAAGGGGTGATTTTCACGAGTATCACAAGTGATTAAGGGACTGTCAGAGGGGGTCTAAAAGAGGTCCCTTGGCCCATCAAGTCCGGTCCCCTGGGCTCACAAGCATCCATTTGTCCAACAGCATCCACTCCTATTCCCTCGTGGTCTGCAGCCACGAAACAGGCTCTGTTTCAAGTAGGAACCCAGAGGGTCCAGATTATTGTGACCTGCTGTGGGCTGAGTTATTTGCACCAGAAGAATTGCCCTAGCATTTTTCCAGTCAAAAAATGTGTGAAAGCCAAGAGATGGCACTTCCTAAGGGGGGCCTTGAGTCTAATGAGGGGTGCTGGAGTCTAAAGAAATCGAGAACCACTGTCTTAGCCCCTGCAATGGCAGGGAGCATGTTAGCTCTGATGATCCAAGGAAGAGGACCATGCCTCATGCCATAGATGAAGGCAAAAGGCCATGGTCCTTGCTAGTCTGAGCTGGAGGGTGAGTTCCTTCCCAGGCTTTTTGTCCTGTATTGTACAGCACCGAGCACGGTGAGGACCCGGTTCCTGGCTGGGGCTCGTATGATAATGCCAACACGAAATACCCGCAATGACAGAGCCCAACGGTGAGCGGACAGGGCTTGTGCTCTCAAATCCTTTGAAGATTTTGAAGGTTTGAAGATCAGGCCCAGTGCGTTCAGGCTGCAAAACCATCCTTGCAACGATCGTTTCAGTTCTGGTTCACACCTGCGTTCCTCAGCCAAATGCTATTTTTTTTTTTTTTTAAAGCAGGCATTATCTTTTTTTTAATGGAAATCTCAATCAAGCATTCAAATACAAACCCTGAGTTGACCTAATTAGAAGTCGGGCTGGAAGGGACCTCCGTACTCATCTAGTCCAACCCCCTGCCCGTGGCAGAATCAGCCCTGTCCAAACCATCCTATACAGATCTATAATCTAATCTTCGGGAAACTGCTGTCAGCCCTGACACAACACAAGACATAACACCTGAACCCCTCACAGGTAAAGCAGGGGGACGATGGCAGCCAATTTCCTGCTTCTGTAAAAGGTTGTTATTATATGCTCAAGAGATCCCAATCAGAGGGCCAAATCCCGCTGCTACAGAGGAAGGCAAAACCCTTCACAGTCTGAACCAGTCTGACCACGGGGGTAAAATTCCTTCCTGACCCCCAAATATGGCGAATCTGTCTGGGGCGGAGAGGAGATCATGGATTTTTTTTTTCTTTTTAATTCTTATTATTCTCAGGAAATCTTGCAAATATCCATGCAAGTGTGCCATCACCTGATATGGGTGCACAATGATGACATCCTCTGATTTCCCTGCCCGTTTCATGCATTCATTCATGCAGAGGGGAGACCGCCTTTTTGTTC